AAAAAAAAATTTTAAAGAAGGGCAGGGGGTGATAATTTGAGCGTACTTTGAGTAATTTAGCAAGACCTTGTCACAAAATTTAAAAAGGGAGTGGGCGGGGCGTGGTGGCAAACACCTGTAGTCCCTTCTGCACTGAGAGGCTGGGGAAGGAGGACTGCCATATATCTGAGGGCAGCCTGGGCTTTGTAGTGAGTGGAAGGCCAGCCTGGTCTACACAGCAAGGCCTTGTCTCAAAATAAGAAAAAAAAAAAGTATCCGCGTAGAATGTGCGCAGTTTTGCCCCTGCACTACAGGTGGGGAAAGTGGTGCTCAAAGGAGCTAAGAGACAAACTGTGGCTAGAGGCACAGTGGGGATTTGAACCCACAGAGTCTTGCCTAACCTTGCGGGGACCACTGAGGTGGTGCGCGTTGCTGGCGTGCTGGTTCAGGCTGGGGTTTCAGCGCGTTGCTCTGTTGCGTCTCCTGCCCTAGCAAGCCCCCCTTGGACTTGACCTTCAGCGTGGCCACCCGCCGCAGTGGCAGAGTTGTGAGGCCGGCCTGGAAGAGGGGCACGCACGTTCTCAGGCGGGCACCAGCCGGGTTGGCCTCTCAGCCAAGGGAGCGCACCAGCTCCTGTCCTGCCTGGGCGATCGGCATTTCCAGCGAAGGCTTTGGATGCCCCCTGGTGGAGCTGCACCCTCCCTACACAAACTGGACTGGGGCTCCCTTCTCTGTTTCCCAGGACTCCGTGGGGAGCCCTCAGAAGCTGAAGTCCTCTATGTAGAGGAGCCCCACTTAGCACGGGGTCAGCACCTGCAGCGTTGCAGGGGCTGATGGGAGCCTCGTTCTGGGATCTGATGGCTCTGGCTCCGGGCTGAGGCCGGAGGAGCGCCATGAGATCACCCTGAGTACCAGGCCAGTGTGGTGACATAGACCCTGCCTTAAAAAAAAAGAAAAGAAAAGAAAACGAAGAAAATTCACAAGTTCCAGTTCTGCCTCTCACTTGGGTCCAAGCAGTGTCACTGAAGTTCTCCCTCTGGAGCAGTGGCCCTGTACCTGCTCCCAAGGAGTGCATAGTAAATGTTGGCACTTATTGTATTCTGTGGAGAGAGTTCCCACAAGTTCCACAGAACTTGAGCCAGTTACTTTATCTCTAGGCCTATAAAACACAATCCTACCTTGCTTTGCTTTCAGGGTTGTGAAAATTAGACCTTGAACCAAAAGCTGGGCGTGGTGGAACAAGCTGTCATCTGGCAGGCTGAGACAGGGAGATCCACAGTTTGAGCCCAGCCTGGGAGACTTAGTGAGAACCTATCTCAAAATCTTAAAAAAACCTGAAAAACGGGGTGAGGTCCTCGCCTCAGGAGCAAATAGGCTAACATGGGATTGATGTTGAGCTTAGCACTTTTTTTTTTTCTTTTTTTGGCAGAACTGGGGATTGAACTCAGGCCCTAGCACTTGCCAGGCAAGCGCTTATTCTACTGAGCTGTCTCCCTGGCCCCCTTTCCTTTCTAGGTGGCAAAACAATTTTGACTTTTTTCATTCTAAATAATGTTTATTACATGGTTCAGATAAGTTTTGGCAGGATCTCCTCTTTTCAATTTTGTAGCTTATAAATAAATTGTGAGTAGATTCTTTGAAATACTTAGCTGATTCTCATCTTAGATTTGTGTGTGTGTGTGTGTGTGTGTGTGTGTGTGTGTGTGCAGTTTGAGACAGTCTTGCTGTGCAGTTCAGGCTGCCCTTGACCTCATTGTATAGCCCAGGCTGGCCTCAAACCCTTGGCCATCTTCTGCCTCAGTCTTTTGAGTACTGGGATTCCAGGGATGCACCATCATGCCCTGGTTACCTTCACCAAATTTATAAGTTATTCATTTCTTTATATTACTAAAGAATTGTGGTTTCAGAGGCAGGAATGTAGCTGAGTGCAGAGGCCTTGGTTTCAACCCCTAGTGCCCTCCGCACAAATGCAAGCAACAAAGACACCAAACCCCCAACTTATACCCAAAAGATAGGAACCCCTTGTTCTCTTACACATGTAAGGGGTTATTTCATTACTTTCATTATTGAGTTCCTGCTATGCAAAAGGCCCTGTTTTGTTTTGTTTTTTAACAAATATTGACCCTGGCCTGTCATAAAGCAGGTTTTTTTCCCCAGATCGGGGTGTGGGATGAGCTGACTGACCCACCGGAGCATCTGGGGCTAGGAAGAGCTGCCCGTAGCTGATGACTTTCTCTGCACAGCGCTACGAGTAAACATTTCAGGCCATGCACGGGGTTGCAATTGCTCAGGAACCAGGGAATGGGGCTGTGTGTGGACAGACTTCCTCTGTGGATCTGCCTGCAAGTTTGAGCTGGATATGATTTTTTATGTCACAAAACATTTTTCCTACCAGACAGTGTGGCGTACACCTGTAATGCCAGCACTCAGGAGGGTGAGGCAGGAAGACTGCTGCGATTTTGAGACCAGCCTGGGCTACCAAGTGAGCTCAAGGTCAACCTCAGCTGCATAGAGAGATCCTGTCTTAAAAAAGACAAAAAAAAAATTTTTTTTTTCCTTTTTGATTTCCACTCTTGCATTTAAAAATGTCAAAATCATTCTCTGTGGGCTGGGTTGGCCCTGGAACTGTCACTTGCTGGCCCCTAGTAACTGTCCATAGCCTCTTGGTGTCACTGTGACTAAGGGATCACCTGCTTTTTTGTTGTTGCCATTTAGCTCTTGAGTCTCCACAGACCACGGATTTGCCACTGAGCTCACGGGGAGCTAGGGTCTTTCCAGACCAGATGGCGTTTCCCATGGCAGTCCCGTGCTCATTTTGAGTGTGACACACAGGAGGTGCCAGCTTCCTCCGTAAACCACCCTGAATGTGGCAGTTGGCTTTGTGTTTCTTCTCTCCCCATTCACTGTGCTTCTCATGTGTTGGCAGAGACTCTGGTGTTCCCATTTCACAGATGAGCAGACAGACCCCCTGGAAGGGTAGAGACCGCCTCGAGGCTTGCTCACGGCTAGGGCTTGGTGGCTGGAAAGGTTCTAGTCTCTGTGCAGAACTTGTTCCCTTCTTTAAGAGGTGCAGAGTTCTGGGTTGTGGCTTTGTTTGGAGGCGGGATCTTGCTCTAGTACAGGCTGGCCTTGTACTGAATCTGTCTTCCCGTCCCTGCCTCCTGGGTGCTGATGTCACAGGTGTGTGCGCATCACCACCCGAGGCCAAGGTGATGTGGAGTCCCCGACTGGTGCAGAGAGGTGGCCTTGCTGAGCAGGCACAGACACTGTCTTCCTTTGGGCCACCATTCACTGGTGAAATCATTTGTGCTGTACTGGATGGGTTGTCACACATTCACTGTTAGTGTCCCATAAGTACCGCCAAGCCGTATTCCAGGGGCTCGGACCCAAGGAGCTGGACAGACAGGAGGCTGCCCCCCCTGTGCTTGCAGAGAAGCAGGGGAGAAAGCCGAGCACAGACAGGGCCGCAATCTCTCGCAGTGGCGTTTGGCCTCCTGCGAGTCACGTGCTGTGTGGCGGACGTTCCTAGTCCTGTGGTTTATTCCTCCCAGTCCCCTGATCAGAAGAGCTGGCAGGATGAAGGCACAGAGAGAGGTTCAGGGAGGCCAAGTAATTTTGGTGGCTTTGCCGAGAGCAAGGGAAGCGTCTCAGCAGCCCTGAGTCCTGTCCTAGGCTGTGACTGCACAAAAGGCTCTGTATACTGTGCTGAGGGAGTCTTTGGTGGGCTGTGGGGCTGTGGGAGGTTCTAGCGTAGAGAGGGGAGTGTGGTGGTCAGGGCCATTTGGAAAGTTTGTCCTGGCAGCACTAGGAGCCAGAGTGGCAGGAGGAGCCAAGTCCCCTTAGGAGGCTGTCTTAGTTACTCTTCTGTCGTTGCTGGGACAAATACCCGACACTCAAAATGAAGGAAGGAAAGGTTTATTTAGCTCACAGTTACTGGAGGTTTCAGTCCATACTCAGCTGGGTCCAATGCAGAGCAGCACAGAGCAGAAAGCAACCTTTTATGGCGGTGGCAAAGAGCAAGAGCGCAAGGGAGAAGTA